TAAGTAATGCTACTTATGGAACATACAACATTAAATAGCCCATCATTTGTAATCTTGTTTTATGGTTATTATTACATAATTGTGTTCCTTTAACTGGTACATAATTAAGCAGATTTAATAATTTCACACACATGCCCCTAATTAACGACCCCTCTATTATATCTCAATTTTGCACACCTGTTTTTCTATGCAGGCACTTTCTGTGTGGATCTTGCCCTTACTGGCCCCTTCACCTTGTCAGTGTGTGATTCTAGCTAAAGTGTGAGAGGAGTTAAGTGTGTTTTAGATACTTACATTTTCTTACACCAAAAATGTATTTTTGATAATACTTGCCTCCTCTCACACTATCCCACCCTTCATCCTCACAATAGCTGGTGTTCAGGTCTAGTAGTCTTGCCAGTCTCAAAAACGTGGCTAAGAAATGATAATGGAGAGCTTATATATGGATCGGGTATAGAGGATGCATTGATGTAGGTGGAGAGAGTCATAAAATTAAAATTGCTAGGGGCAATATGGTGGGGTATAAAGATTGGAGCAAGCGATGTATAATTTATACCTATGCTTAGATGGTAAATATTATCTGAAATACATTTTCGATGTAGAAAAAAGTAAACTTTCCAAACTGTATTGTAAAGTGATATAGATAAAGATTTGGAAGTAGTGAATATATTAATTATAAAGTAATAACAATTCATTAACTGTTGAGGAGTAGACTTGCATAAATGTAAATGACAATCCATAAAGATATAAAATAAAGAAAAGAGTGAAAATAGACACAGAAATACCAGTTTAGCGAATACGTGTAAAACACAGAAATGTATAACCCACAAGAAATTAGGAAATTACAGTTTCTTTGTCTCGGAAAGCAAAAGATATGGAAAGAAGGAAATGAAGGTTACAGAAAGACAAAGTGATCATTGATACTGTTAAGGTTGATTGTTCAAAGCATAAAAATTATGTTACTTCATACCAAAAAAAAAAAAATTGGTGCAAGCATTTAGCACTGTTCAAAGAATTAAAATAATATATTTTTTCTACTGGAGGCTAAAAAATAGTTGCCAGTAACAAGTAACTAAGGGCAAAAAGATGTTGACTAGGGTTGGCGAGTATTTGTATAATAATGAAGTTACATGATTTGTGGTAGAAGGTAAATCCTTCTCATTTGAAAAATGTATGAGGGCTGTAAACAGTCCTCACCAAACAGCCCATAGGGGCTGTTAATGGGCTGATGCCATATCTCAATTGTTTGTTTACAGAATTGGACAATAAATGTTAATTTCTATTGACTGAATTGTACTGTGTTTATCAACATAAGAGAATTCCACTGGCTAAACTGAAACAAGTTCACAGTGGGCCACTGGACTATGACCACTCCAATCAATATGACAGCACTTGTAGCCTTGTGTTATTCAGAATGTAGTTCACCAGATGTAATTTTGGTCTGTAATGCACTAAGCTGTGGAAACTGTCTTGGGATTTGTCAAATGTGTTTCACTACCTACTGCATAAGATATTCATTCCTAAAATGCCATAATGTTTTCCCCTGAAGAAGAAAGGTCCACCTTTTGAAAGTGCTCGGGTTATAGGTTTTTTTATTCATTTCTATCAAGACTTCTTGAACCTACATGTTTTTCTAACATCGGTAATGTTTGGTGACATTTTGCAAAGTAGTTAAATGTGAGCTTAATGGTTTTAGGAGACACCAGAAATTTATGCCATATCATGCTTAAAAATTAATTCAGCTGTCAAAATTCACAGCATCAAATGTGGAGTTAGTTGAACTGTACAGTGCTCCCATGTGTCTTGTAAAACTTGAAAATTTTCAAAATTAATTTAAAGGCTTGGAAAAGTCATGGAAAACTGTCAGTTTATGAAATGCATTACCTTATTTGAAAACAGCTAATCATTTGATTGAACAACTAACATAATTAAAATGTAGTTAGTTGGCTAGAATATATAAAAAATAAAAAAGTGAGAAGATGGGGTAGATACGAGAGATGATGTAAGGCTATAAATGGTAAAGAAGGATGGCTGAGATGTGCTGGAAAATCATCTTCAACCAAGGGGGGAAAACCCTGCTGTAACATATTTATATATATTTTTTACTTAATTAACAAAACTTTCTAAAATTACACAAGATAATTAAATGTGATATAAGTAAATACCTGGATTAATTGTCATAATGAAATTTTCCAGAGAACTTTGGTGGTGGTGTTTTTTTATGTACAAGTGACTACTTTTCATGAACGTTGGACTTTTAAGTTTAAGTTACTTTTTTCCAGAAATTAATAAACTTACAGATCATTAGATGTATGTTTAATTTCAGGATTCTTATATGCTCATACTAGATGCTAAATATTTTATTTGTTAGTGTTAAAATTCGTTTTTTTATCAGTTTCTTCACCTAACTTGAAGTACTTGTGCTCTACAAATGCTTATAGCTCCATTGAAAGTGTGTTCAGCATCAGTTTCAGTTAAGAGTATGAAACCCTGTTTATGATAATTTATTTAGTAGATCTTACTTTGTTATTATTAATGAATAATAGAATATTTGAAATATGTTAGGATGACAAGGAACAGCTTGAAGCTCGTCTGTTTAATACAGAGACAGAGTACCGGGAAAGATTGCAACAATGTCAGGATTCTCTCACTGTTCGTACGAAAGAACTAGAACTGCTTAAAGAACAAACAAAAGCAGAAGTTACTGAGCTGAAGCTTAAACATCAGGAAGAGTTTTGTGATCATCAGGAAAATGTTCGAAAGGTTTGTTTTGATCATTTCTGAAATGGGTATGATTACAGGAAATATTCTATCATATAATAAAAATTTAAATAATATACAACAACATTTCTCTTGGTGTGTTTATGTTTATTTCTTTTATAACTTATGTTAAAATGATGCATTTCTGTGGATTTTCACTGAAGCAAAGTTAATAAAACATTTTTATAGTTTAAGTCGCATGTTCATGATATTTGACATGTCAAAAAACAGTTTTAGGAAAAAATTAACTAGGATTAAATAGTATTGAGTATTGTAAAAAAATTTAAAGTCTGTTAGTAAGATTATAAAATTTCTCCCATGATATTCAGTGATTAAAAAACAATAATTGACCTTTGTCCAAGAGATAGGCTTATATTGACATGGAATTTTGCTTCATTCAAACATGAACATTATAATGATTTGTGACTTAAACATATTAGATATTTTATTGTTATTATTATTGATTGTCAGTTTGGTAGTATGAGCTTTATTCTGGTATAGTATAGGAAAGGTTTGACTTGCAAAAATAAGGACATGAAAAGTCATTCCATACATTGCTACTTTTTGTGTTACATTATAGTTATGGGCTGTCATGGCCTAGTGGTTAGCTTACCAAATTGTAAGTCCAAGGGTCCAAAGTTTGCACTTCATTACCTCAAAATTGTGCTCCCTATTTTGATGCTGTTGATGCATTATAAGAGTGGCAGTCAAATCTCACACTTCGATGAGAGTACCCAAGAGTTGGTAATGGTTACCATTGACTAGCTGCCTTCTTTCTAGTTTATCAGTTCAAACAGAGGGATATCTTTCATTAGAGGTAAATAACAAACGATTATTGTCAGCATATTAATCAGTTATGTGGTTGTTGTACTGGAAATGAGATATTAGGCATTTCTGAGAATATGACCTAAAATTGTGAAATATCATTGCATGTGATGTGTCAGCAATGAGAAACACAGAAAGATAATTTTGAAATAAGAAAAGTTAACAAGAATGAGTGTTTGTACAAGAAGTAATGTCCAGCACAGTTGTGAGATGTATTAATGAAAGCACTTAATAATACATGAAGTGGAAGTGTCGAATATTAAAAAGAACTTTAATAAGTGAAATCTAATAATAATACATATATAAATGATATTATAAAAATAACAGATACTAAATGAAGGTTATAGTACACAGATAAAATGAATTTTAATGTAGTAATAAGAGTTAAAACATTATTAATGCAATGATAAAGAATTTTATTTCAAAACAGGATTTTCTAAGACTTTCCTGAAAGAATTTGAGTTAAAGGATGAAAATTATTAATACTTCAAGGTTCATACCATATGGTGGTGTCATTGTTTAAAATACTGATCCAGTAGGGCTTTTTTATTTCTCCATCAGTTTTTGACTTAAAACCTAGTTTCATTATTAGTGTGAAACATGGTTGATGAGTACATGACAAAGTTTTTTAAGTTCTGACAGAACATTCGTGGTTATCAAGCCATTCTTTAAGAGTTGTCTGGGTATGTCCAACAAACTGGTGGTTGCATTTTTTTTCAGTTTCATAAGATATATTGTGTTTTAAGTTTCACAAGAGATTGTGTTTGTTATTTTGTAGTGGGTGTTTTGTTGGTCAGAGAAAGTACTGTGGTTTTTATAAACTTCCAAGTCTGATATTGAACTTTATTATCAGGGGAGCAGCCATTCTGTGGCATTGTATAAATGATGTTTTTGTGAATAAACAAAGAAACTGTTAGATTTATTGGTGCAAGACTGGTTGAAGGCATAATGTGAAAACGTGAAACTTCTGATACAATACCTTACCTTCTCTCATATAATAGTGTTCCTTGATTTTGTGCTACCCTCTCTATGGACAATTTTTCATTCACTACTAGCTTTGAGGCTCCTACTTAAACTTGTGTTTCCATATGGTATTGTTGCAGTGTTGCATGCAACAACCCTCCACCAGTAAGAGTGCAACATAGCCTCCTAGTGCAGCTGAATCCCTCTATACTGATTGTTCTATCATCACTTCTCGAATTGGCACTTGTGTGTAATGACATTTCTTTGTTTCCATCGTAAACTTTCAGATATAGGTGTATTTTTAGTGGTAGTATCTCCAAAGACATTACAAGTTGTGGGAGTATTTCTTATTGAATTTTCATTTTCAAACATTTTCTGCATATGCAGATTTTGGGACCTTTCATTTCCCCCATTATTATTTCATAAATGTCAGTTACTTCCCCTTTGTCTGGTGTGAAACTACAAAACATTGTTCATGCTAGTCTAACAATTAGATTGATGTCAGGTTTGTCTTTGTCTGTTGGGAGAAGTGTGTGCATTGGGTGGTGGAGTACTTAATGTGGCCCGAACCTTCTTTTGTACTTGGAATACCTCTGCCTATGTTTCTCACTCATGATGAATGGGATTTTGCCAGGTTTTCCCCCAAGACCTACTGTTATATCCATGCTGTCTTGTATATGCCAAAGCCTTTTTCGTAATTTTGGGACTAGGCTTCTAAGGTAATTCATTCCCTGTTTCTTACTTTTATGTTCTTTACTTTCTATCCTGATTTGCAAGTCTATATTCAATTACTTTTCCTACTCCTTTGGTACATGTATGCCTCAACCAGGATCCTTTGTCACCTCATATGACTAGGCATGTTTTAGTGCTGTATTACTTTTCTTTAAACTCTCTCAACACAGGCTTGGTCAATTTGACCAACCACGTGACCTCTTTATACTCGTTTAAAGTCTTTATAGATTTAATACTTCTACCTTTCAATATAGTGTGTATATATTCACAAAATTTGGCAGTCTTTCAGTTAATACTATAAGTCTCTCACGTACAAAAAATCATATTTTTTAGTTAAGTATTTTTAATAAAATAAAGATTTGTCCATGAATATATTGAATATTTGTTTTGAATAGTCCATGTGCAAAGTAATTTTCATGTTAAAATTAGAAATACATTTCCTCATCTCAAAAATCTCAAATTTCTTTTGTGTAATCCCTAAAACCTCCTAAATGCATTTAAAACGTTTTTTCCAATAAAACTTTACAGTTTATCTGTTATTTGACCGACCTTGTAACCACAAAAAAAAGGAAATCAACCTAAATTACCCTTTTTTCTTTCTAGAATGACTTCAGATTGTAACATGAAACTACATTCGTTTATCCTAAGTATTTATTTTATTGTTTTATTGTCTTTTGAACCATGTCTAATTACTATCTGCACCAGTACAAGTTGTAAATCGTTCGGGGAACATGCAGCTCACATTATGCTAATGAATTACATTACCCACGAGCTGCTCACATGTGTGCCTCATGAAACATTTTTATTATAATATTATTAATATTTCTTTTACCTAATTTAATCTTAACAAACCTAAAATGATCCCTATTTTTACATTTTAGTTACTTTAATAATTATACATAAAGAATAAACATGAAAAACAATAAATAAAATATTTAACCAATCTTTTTTCTTCCTGTCAGTTTTTGAAGAGAATTAAACCTAATTTTTTATAGTAATGCACTTAATAATTTTTATTTAATTAAATAATGCACCAAAAAATATAGACTAATAACATGCAAAAGTAGACAAATTCTCTTACCTCCCATACTTTCTGGCTTTCTATGTGACAAGAGCCATTACAAGTACATCCATGCTAGTAGTTAACTTTTCCACAGGAACGAATCTTGTACTGTGAGTGAAATTAACTATATTTTGTTCACAACGTTATATATCATTTGATAGCTGAAAACTATGACTTTCTATTGGTTATATAGGTAATATATAATAAAACGTAAGTGAGAACTATCAACGAATTGTGAAATAGAGGATGTGGCAGGAGGGGATTGATTTTTTTATTCAATAGCTCTGTAACCAAACAAAATTGAAAACTATCAAAATTATGGTTTGTCTGAGCAATAATAATTTTATAGAGAGCATTTTACGTTTAATTTTGTACATTTTCGAGGGGTGGTGGATAAAATAGGGATGATGACATGCTAAGAGAAAATGTGTTATGTGGGTCACACTCAGTGGTGGGATTCAAATATTTTAACAACAGGTTCTCTCACTGGCAGCATGTAAAAATATTAGATATTAAAAAAAAGGAGCCCCCCCCCCCCCATCACTGAGAAAATAAAAATAGGCCGTCATGGATAGTGTTAAAGATCCTCTAGAAAC